TTGTAGGGGCTCTAATGAAAATTCTGCATTTTGGTGTGACGTATATTCCCTCAACGTTAGCGGACTACTTGAACTCGGCTTTAAATCGCCTCATTTGATTCTCCCGCCTGCGCTCTCTCGCCTTAAGCAGCGGCTCATGACCACTGTGATCTCACACATTCAAACTTTTGCCACACTGTAATTGGCTCACCCACCCCAGAGCTCCTCCCCTTCAAGGCTTAGTCCTAGGCTCTCACCTCCCTCCTTGGGATTTGGAGTCGAGGTAGGCGCCATTCTGTAATCGTCTGTGCTGTCGCCATTCCTGGCAAGACTATGGAAGAAAGTTCAAGTGATTCTAAAACCGTTTCCTCAATGGCCCTGACGCGGATGGTAGAGCACAGACGATTAGAGAACGGCGCCTGGCTCAGCTCCAAATCCCGTGGAAGGTGAGAGCCCTAGGACTAAGCCTTGGAGGGAGGGGAGGGACTCCGGGTGGGTGAGCCAATTACAGTGTGGCAAAAGTTTGAATGTGTGAGATCACAGTGGTCATGAGCCGCTGATAAGGCGAGAGAGCGCAGGCGGAAGCATCAAATTGAGGCGGTTCAAAGGACCGAGCTCACGTATTTCGTTAACGTTGAGGAAATAGGCGCAGTCCAGCGCCTTACGAGTTGCATCATGAAATCTATGCGTGGGGAAGAACATCCGTGATGCACACAGAAATTCGTCGTTTTCGGAAATCGGAACTCCTAATGTATGATTCCTTTGAAGAAAATCACCGGGACCTTGTACAAAAAGTGGTTAAAATGTTCTCACTCCGCTAGTTTCCGGACTTACTGCCGCAGGAGCGTGTTGGAGCGACCTTTCGCGGCCGCAGTGGTCTGCGACGTTTTTGCTCCAAGATGCCATTTATGCAGTTTGGTGCTCTGCGAGCTGGGTCCATTATTGCGGCCTGTCGGCACGGAGCGCACCCTCACCCTTTTTCCGGTAGCTAGGCTATTCTGGAACCAATTACAAATTGTTGCCCTTGGCCTCGTTCATTTTGTCGTGTTACTGGACCGGCTCCCACTTGGCTGATGTGTGCTTTTTACATCTTGTTCCTGGCCATCTCGTTCCAAACTTGACCCGGTGTCTCCAGGAGGTTTTAAGGTCATACCGAATTTTCTGGGAAACAGGTTGGCAAACAGGCATATTAAGTGCCCTATGCATACGTTGCGTTCCTTAAAGGCAAACCCCGGGATTAAACTGGTGCTATTACGCTTCCTGGTGATAGCATAGCTGTCTTTGGGAACGCTGAAATTAAGGCCTTAACCTTAATAAGGTCGGATGTGGTACGATGGCGAGACAGGGCGGTCAAAGAAGACAAAATACGCGAGAGAGCACGCTGTCTCTAGAGCACGCTGATCTCACCATCTCTCGCGGTGGGTGGGAAGCGTTGCAAGGGGTCGATGGTTGCAGGCCCGTAAGGATTAGCGCCCTAACCGCGCAATTTTGCGACGAAGCTGGAGTGATCTAGGTAGGTACGGACCTTACAATTTCCCTCGTGGTATCCCTACTAGTCGGGCTAATCCCGGGGTTTGCCTTTAATCTTGGCTTTTGACAGGAAAGATGTCCTAGCAATCCAGGAGTGCCGTTGTGATATATTTTCTCTTGAGACCTCCTAGTTGGCTCTTGCTTTGGGTTGCTATTATAATTCATAATGTTCCATCACGTGTGTCTTAGGACTATTGGTTGCTTGAAGAGCATCGTTCGCATAAATACCCTGAGAACGAGGTTTGAAGTGTTAGTTGAACTGTAAACCGAACATCATGTACATGACACAGAGTGCAGTTACTTGTTTAAGGTATGCTTTGGGAACTCCTGTTTGTTCCTCCAATCAGACCGTACTGTCCGCTGAAATTACTGCGAATGATAGCCCATCGAATATAATTCTTGAGCCGATGTTCAGCCCGGACCAGTTCAAGTAAGTTGCCCACGAGTATGTTTTTCGCCATCCGCAACTAGCTAATTGTGCAAACGATTCCATTTTTTCCGCTGGGGAAACCTCCTTCTAAATCTTAGAAATATTCTGATTATATGTTTTGCTATAGGGCAGCCACTCCAAGCGTGGAATTTTCCTTGATGTGTGAAAGGCAACGGGCGACTGTTGTAACTGGCGTCACGGACTATGTGGTGGACAAAGACGGATCCACGTTAATGCTCACAACTGGGGAACAAGCCTTTCGGTGAGCCTTTTTTCTTCCTGCTAATGGCATTAAGTCGTGCCGTACTATATATAATAGATCAGAAGGTCTTAAGTGTACCCCTAAGTTTGTGATAGTTGCTTGGAAAATCACCTGGGGAGGGCGAGTCAAGTTTGGGATGAGTAGCGCATGAGCTGGGCTAGGCGAGGCAGACATGGGTCATAGGGAACTCAGCACACGGTGGACGGGGCATGAGACGAATGGGCGATGCCGGCAGCAAATTATCACAAAGTCGGTTTAACCGCTAGAACCCAGAGACAGGAAAAATAGGGTATAGGAGTGTACGGCATCGACAGTATCATTCGCTCATACCTTATACTAGTCAGCTCGCTTGTTCTCGGGGCGATCACGCCATACGACTACCGTGGGCTGGGGAACAGCGGACATGGTGGCGCGATTTCATCGAAGCACCTTTCTACTGGAGTTAGCTGAGTGATCTAATGCTTCACAGTTCTCCAGTTTCGCTGAAGTCTACCGCGTGGTGCGCGCGATAGCGTGCGAAGCAAAACTGCTTCTTATCTATGCGACGGGGTCTTCAAAGTGGATGAGGATGCCGATTTTTCTTCACATTTTGAAAAAAAATCAATTTTTTCAGGTATGATGGTAGCCTCACGCCTCTAGCTATCGGTAGCGTCGCTAGTGATTCAGGTACTTCTTGCGGTTTCGTGTTCGACACACAGTTCTGTCCGTCTGATTCGAAGCTGGTCTCTTATGTACTTAATAGGCAGGTACTACCGGTTATAGTAGGGAGAAGAATTTTAAATCACGGTTAATAGTATTGCTTCTCATTTCAAATATGTTGAGGTTCACGTTGAGCGAGATGGTTGTTTGATCTACCGAACCTCCAGTTCCGATCCGAATATTTCAAACGGTGTACCACCATTCATTGCACAAGAGGAACTGGACCGATTTCAAGCCGTTTGGTGGAGCCCTACAACAACTAGGTAATCTATTTCCCATTAGATTCGTGTATTTATGTTTGCGTTTACAATATTAACTGAAAATATTTCATGTTTGGTTCCCTTAATTTTGCTGAGAATCGTTCAATGCTCGCTATCAAAAGGTTTCTAGGTTATTATACGAACGGGTTGACGAAACTATGGTGCGCTCATTGATGTTTGTCTGTCCTGGAAGAGAAGCTCAAGCGCCAATGAAATATCCGGTTGCTGGAACAGACAATGCCGTTTCTCAATTACGGCTTATCGTTATTGATGGGAATACAGTCAGTTTCTGTTTGTGTCTGTGGATCTCCAAATCTCATTCTAATGGTTCAGGTCGTCGACTCTGGGCTCAAGATTCCTTTAAAGGTGCATTTTCCATGGATTGAATACATTGCACGTGCGGGTTTTCTGAATGACGGAAAAACGTGAGTAAGACTGGCCCATATTCAGCGTTCGAGGGGCTCGATTAAGCGGTAGAATGCTTGAGGAATAATCCCCAAAATCGTTTGTATTTTCGTTAACAAGGAAAGGCCAACGTATAGGGCCAATTGAAATGATGCCTACATCCCTTCATTCGCATCGAGACGGTGCTGCGAATCCGCTTTTAGTATCTGTGGAACAGTTTTTTTTTCAAACGAACCAATGAATTGGAAGAACGCAGCGTTATACGAATTGATAGTCGCGAGGTCAATCCCTTGACGAGCCTGCTCTCTTGCTCTTTTCACCAGCATGTTCGCAATTCTTCTAACAGTTCTTTGATTTGTTCCTGGTTTTTTGGCTGTTGTTTTTGGCCGCAGTTGGCCACGCGAAAGTTACTGCGAGTGTTTAAAGTTGTGAGGAAGACACTCTGCCCAGGCAGAGCTCAAATCCGTGCCTGTTGCTTGCCGGACACTTGTGCTGCTGATATGTTGCTGGGGCGTCATTTCACCCATATTCAGCCTTGGGTGGGTGTCAACCGCTGATCACTGTCGATTTGCTAACCTTTTCATGTTGCTATACAGGTTTGACTCTGCCTGGAGCGAAGTGTTTTGCTTACCATTAGATTCAGCATCTGTGTAATCACTTCTTTCGTCATTTCATTACTATTCGCCTTCGAAGGGTTTGCGAGCATCATGTTCTGGCACTATCTATCCATGATGCCCCATGTCACCCGTGGCGCATATGTGGGACGCTGCGCAAAAAAGGAAGGTGATATTAGTGTCCGGTCGACGGACTACTTGAACTCAGCCCTTTAAACCTTCTCTGCGCTCTCTCGCGGGTCCCTCTCCTCTCCAAGGCTTAGTCCTAGGGCATTCACCCGTTCTCTAATCGTCTGTGCTCCAGGGGCTCCAGTTACCCGTAGACTATTCAGGATGGCCAGTGTTTGGCCAAATCCTAGATTTTGATGGGACTTCGACAAAATCGCTCAGCTTCCATCCACGAAATAACATCTAAGACTGGTATATGGGATAATACTTGTCTTATCTATTTTTTTGAGAGGATAAAATTTTATCTAGGCAACTTGCTTGCATTACCTCAGGATTTATGTTGCATTGTTAACGCAAGCGCCCTTGTACACTGGTGTGCAAAACTTAGGGACCGAAGTAACTTTCACATGATATCCGGTTGCTAGCTAACCTAGGTAGATCAAATTTGGCACATGTATAGAAGTAAATGTTGCGCTACAGTGCAGAGAGTTATTAGCCGAGAAGCGCAACGGGACTATTAGAAAAATCTTTTTTTTCTCAAACACCCTGTCTGAAGAGGTCGATGGGTGAGGCTACATCCAGCTCATAGGCAGATATTGTCCGAGGAGTAGTCCGTGGTGGGTGCTACGAACCTACGAGAGGGGCGAAAGCATGCTCCTGCACGTGCGGCTCGGATACTGGCGCCACAAGTTGGTTAAGATTTTGGTGGAGAAAACGATCATTCTTGAAGGACGTGATTGCGCCTGCTGGGGGGAAATTGTTGGCGCACTGGGCGCTGGCGTCTACTGCTTTCCCTGAAGTCGTGCTCCACACGCTGCTCCGCTAGCATTTGCTGTGGGGTAACGGGGGACAGGTCCGACCGTCCGCGATCAGCTTGGAACAATTCCTCGATTTTTCAGGAGTTTTCCACCTAGGCTGCTCGATGCTCTCGCACCTTGTCCTCCATACGATTGAAGTTGAGGTCAAAGACATTCTTGAACAAATGCACAGAAGTGAGGAGCACAGCGTCACAATAATCGTCGATCAGAAAGCATTTCGCGACCAGGAGTTGAGAGCTTGGTACATTCTTCCGACTTTAGGCCTCCCCACACCATATCGAATAGACTATCAAAACAATCATGTCGAACGATTTCGCGGGTGGATTACATGATCCTATTCTAGCCACGTGCGGATAAAGTCCAAAATCACTACTTACATCCAATTTGATCTTGAATGGGAAGAACACGCAATCATCCAAATCAGTGGTCCTTCGCTAATGTCCCGACACCTAGCAAATGTTCCCGCCGATGCGCGGGTTTCGACCGAAACACCAGATACTGTTCATCGGTCAGACAGATCATGCCTATACGGTCACTGTACCACTGCTCCGCCTGGGATTACGTGCCTCACAATTCCTGATAGATGTTTTTGCAACTGCAACCTGTGACTGACGTAGGTCAATTCTTGTCTGTTGCACAACGTAGCAATCACCTGCAGTTGCGGTTAATCCTGATCCACCACCTACTCTTCTAGGGGCAGCAGTGGCTGCAGTCCATATTGCCCTTATGCGCACAAAACAATGGGGTGAGCAACATCAACCTCCTGGACCACACTCGTTACAAAATCTTCCTTCTTCCAGTTTCCCAGGGATTCTTTCTCGCGCAAAGTCACCCTCGTGTTGTCTCTGAGACTTGTTGTGATCAAGGGCACCACTACTTTCCACAGTGACTTCTCCCTGCTCAGTACACTCCCTCTTGTCCTGTCCCACCAAACCCTTCGTTTTATGCGGCCACTCCCTTTTGGCTCCATACTGAAGCCGACCGCTGCATATATGAGGCCCACTTCCATGTCTATGACTGTAAGGCTTTTGGCAATACACTTGCGCAGTTTCATCCAATTCCACCAAATTGGTTTAATAAGTTATGTCAATTTATCCATCTGGTCCTTAAGTTTTGCAAACCAAGCGCCCTTCTAGAAACGCCGGCTTCCATTAAAAAGGACCCCATGATAATAAGGTCGAAGAGAAATACTTATCTCATTTTTTACTGGACAAGCAGACCGACACACAATCCGCAGCTAAGGATCTAGCGTGGCTGTTCCTGTCATCGCGCTACGCCCACCGACTGGCTACCACTCGCTTAAGGGGTTTAGCCATTAGGGTTAGCGTTAGTGTTGAAGAGGGCAGCAGCGATGAGAGTCGCATCAATGCGGAAATCAACGGGCAAGGAAGGGGTCCCATTTCTCGGGTTCTGGGCCGTTTCTCATGGTTTCCTTTTCATTTCGGCACGATTGGCCACCTCCACCTCAGTTGTAACCAGTCTGACTGCGCACGCCTTCGCTTGCATCACACCCACCTCGGTGCACGCTTCACCCACCAGTAGACCAATAGCATTTGTACTCCCTTCCCTTGTCGGACTCGACCCACTTTTTCTCCGCCCTCCAGGAGTTCTTGGAACCGATTGTAAATTCGGGGCAATTTCGCTCTAATGGTGCGCGCTCCACCCACTTACACCTTTTGGCCTCCCTTCCATTGTTGGACTCTATCCACCTTTTTCTCGGTCTCGATTTATAATGTCTCGTGGATTACTCCTCTTATTAAGGTGCACATTATACCCCCTAATCGCATTTAAACTTATTTCCGTTGTCAGGCTCTATCCACTTTTCGTAGTCTCCAGCAGTTCTTGGAACCGGGTTACACTTTTTGGATGACTCGGCCCATTCCGGTGCACGCCACGCCCACCTAAAACTGTTGGCCTCCCTTCCATAGTCGGGTTTTCGAGCGTTACTTATAGACCAGTGTGATAGACGTTAGTGTTTACAGAATATGGGTACAAGTGATGAATCGCACTCAGTCACAAGCCGCACTCATATTGCTTCCTGAATCTGATTTCGAAGGATTCGCTGCGACGGGTCCAATCCGTGAAGCCTGCGTCATGAAGAATGAAGTCTCTCACGCTTGGATAAATGTGTGTAGGTTTAATGTGTATGCCATTAAAATCTGCTGAAACACGAATCAAAAGCGTTTGTTCAAATGAGAATAACTATATTCACTATCCGCTTGTCAACTTTTCTTATGCGACTACAGTCCATACCGATAGAAGTTCACATTATTTTGTGGTCAAATTATCTTATGGTTAGTCTAGAAATCTCGATTCTCAGTTATTCTAAAAATCTCGATCTCGACTAAAAAAATCTCGATTTCATCGATATCCCTCTCATCTCTGAATGATTTCTCTTTTGAGAATTACTTCAAAGAGCCGCAAGACGGGTAGGTCGAAGTGGCCATTTGAGAAACGATGTGGGTGACCTGAAGCCTCTCGTCGAATCTGACACTCCAACTTAGGCCGATGTCAGACTTTGCGAATCGCGCGATTCGCTAGCGTCTGCGGTCGCGTCGCGGCCAGTGAATCACTCAATTGGCTGGTACCGCAACGCGACCGCGGACGCTAGCGAATCGCGCGATTCGCAAAGTCTGACATCGGCCTAAGGATTCTCTGGACAGATTTTACCGTTTTAACCTGTTTCTGTTGGATAATACTGTATTACTTTCTATCAGTTAAACTGTTTTTTTTAGTTTTTTTTCAATATGTTGATTTATTTGATTTATCATTCAACATTTCAATGTTTTAGACACACAATGCGATCGTTCCACTTCACAACGATACCTCTACGGTCGAGTTCGTATACGCCAGCGAACAACAGTCGCACTGCCATCTGTACATTATAAGGGCTTTCATTTCGAAGTAAGCCTTGTATTTTCCACGATCTGTCTTCGTAAACTTACACAGAAGAGCCTGTAGGCTGGGCATTGTGTTATGGTGTGAGGTTAAAACATTTTGTGCCACTTGGTGCAACAAGGATCTACTGTATTGAAGCAGCACTTGGTAGCCCAAACTTAAGTAACCCCCCCCCCTCCCCCAGCAGAAATCATGTCGAAGAATCTATTCAGTGGGTGGGATAGAGTAGCCCACGAGGGCACAGATGTGCCGTTGTCGCGGCTCGAAAGTGCGCGACAATGGCGCTAGGGTCTTACAAAGTCAGCTTTTGGCGACTAATCTTAGCATTTGGACGAGTTACGTCGCGCACACCCCATGACACGCAACGTGGATTACGGCGTAGCGGCTAATTTACGCACGGGTTAGTTGAGCCGTGGAGCAGGCAAGTTCGTACAACTCGTCTGGCCCGCCCCTTCCTTGTTCCAGAGAGGATCCTTGTTCAAAGCTTTATCGACGGTTTTCTTTGCTTCCTTTTTCATTTTTAGTCAACTCGGCATTCACAATTCCATACCCACCGCTAAGACCAACAGGTTCGATCTGGGAGTATTGCTTCGAGCAGTCTAAAGAAGTGCAGGGAGTGTCTTGCACACGA